AACTTCGGACAATCGTACACGTATTTTCCAGGCTTCTGCAACACTGGTCGATTTTAGACTTAATAGATTTTTGACAGTTTCAATGAAATCACTTTTTGGCCAAAGGCTGACAAATGTGCAGACTTACCTATTTAATATCACACTAATATTTTAAAAATGAAAGTTTCATTGTTTGCATGCTTAGATGTAAACTACTGAACGGATTTTAATGAAATTTGGTATACAGGCAGGGTATGGGCTGACTTAGATAATAGGACTTTTCATCTCTATTAAATACTCACATGGGATAAAACGGGAATTATATTCTAAATACGCTTCGAAGTCGCAGGCAACAGCTAGTACAGAATAATTAGACGAAAGAATCAAATTCTAAATTTCAATAACAAATTTCATTATTAAAAATTCGGTTCAGAAAATACGAAATCGAAAAGAATATCAATTTTTTAGCCCTTTAAATAAAATTCATTTCACTTTGCCAGTTCAACCACGGTAAATGCTAACATGAGCTGTCTTGAATTAAATTTACATTTTATTAACGAAAACCACACAAAATTCTACCCTTGTTCCGTATACCATAAATATGTCGTTCAAAGAAACATATTTTAATTAGACCACAGCCTTTTTGGTACGAATGTTGCCAGAATTAATTGTTTCATAATAATATATTCCGGCTCTGTTTTGAAGATTTATTAATTTCCAGTAAGTTGGAAGAGCTTGTGATTTTTGTTTGTTTTATTACTTTTTAGACGGATTTTTTTTTACTATTTTGGCGCAGCAGATCAACTCTTTTCTGACAAATTTCTTTATTACATATTCAATCCTATCGTTTAGATTTAAAGTCAAAAATCAAACGACAAAAAGGTAGGTTGATGTGCTGGCCGCTTTACAATGTTGAAGTACATCTTTGTAATCGAAACGAGACCGCGATCCGCACTCTGATTGGTTGGTTCATTTGAGCCGGCCAATCATACCGCCGAAGCCCTCAGAGGTCTCCCCAATGACTCCACATCGGCCAGTTGACGATTCACTACAACTTAACCCGATTGCTTGGTGTGTGTAGAAAACAAAATTACACTTAAAAAACAAATTATTTTTGTTTATTCTTGTTTACGTAATTCATAAAAAAGATCTCCTTATCACATGTACCTACGTATTTCAATAAAAATAAAAACAAAATAACATTTACTTACCTGAATAACGACAAAATAAACAACAGTAAGAAAATAACAATTTCTTTCCTAACAGAGAGGGATATTAAAAATAATAAAAATACGAAATAAAGAGAGAAAATATTCGTATTTATAATACCTTTGGGCTCAGTTGTTTGCCATTCGGAATAACCATTAGAGACTCCCATAGTACCCCGTTGTCCGACGGACCATGAAAATAAATTCACGTATTAAATAGACACAGAAAATATTGTATTTATTCTAGTTAAATAAACAAAACAGGCAATTAGAGGGAAGGAGTTACTGTTTTGGAGTGACTGCCTTGTTAATCGAGTGGTCCCAAGTGCCACTGCCGAGCAAAGCGTCTCGTGTTCAATCCTTCGGGTCGGGCAAAATATTAGATACTGGGGTTTAAAAATTCTCAGTAGTAGCACGGTGTCTGAAATTGTATAGTTTATGGCAATAGGCTCACCGCCTATTACATGGCACTCATAACATAAAAGTGAAAAGTGGGTGTTACATTGTGCAGCGGCATTAAGTGTTATAATGTGCACCTCTGCCTACCCCTTCGGGGGTTTTACCCCCGTGATGATACGTATAAGTTATTGTTTGTCTGTTAGGTGACTTGTGATACGGGTTCCTGTGGGGAGATCTGATGTTATGATGAAGATTGTGAAGATTCGTAATTATGTTTGTAAAACCAATTTTATCAGTTGTATTAAAAGTTTTTTTGTAATAGGAATGTTGTATTAAGCCTCTAGTCATTAAACACGCTTAATATCAGAAACCATACACTGCAGTTCTCGAATTAATAGAAAATCGCTATAATACTTTTGTCAACTTTCACATTGAATTCAGATCTTTGACCCCATTGGACCTTCTTAAGTTTTTACACAGCTATTATGTAGGTAATGTGTATCCAATAAAAAATACAGTAATTGATGCTAAGAGTCAAATTACAATCATCGTTATCGATATATTTAGTCGGTCTATAAAAAAAACAATAGAAAACAAGCCACTCAAAAGATTACATTCAAATGTCGAACATTACCAGAACCAGAATGCCATAAAATAATTTTATTATGTTTTGTTTTTTACCTTGTATTTATTTTAATATACGGCCTGTTTGAAAAAGGAATCCGTGGCTCATAGCTTAAGGGGAGGTTTTCGTCGAAAAACGGTCAGTTTCAACGAGCCGGCGGCCATATTGCTTAACCTTACAAATAAAATTGTTACGACAATTATGCGAAAGATTTTCTTTTTTCTCTCTGATGTTTCGGGCCTTGTTACGATGTTTTATTTCATTAAAAACATTGTGACAGTAAGTTGTATGTAATTTTGGTAATAATCTGGCTTATTTTTAGGGAAAATGCGTCTTTTTGTGTGGTGATAGATATCATTATTGATCATGACAGTTTGTGGGAACGTTTTTGTAATGACGTGATATTTTGGACCATATTAACTATGTTTATTTAAAGGTTCATAATATCAATACTTTTGGTACGTGAAATGTAGGTTAGCTCTTTAAACGATTATATTGAAAATACTTAACTATTTCTTCGAACTCATTTTTATTTTGGGGCAAACGTTTACCTACGTGGAAAACGATAACGAAAAGAAAAAACAACAATTGAAGAAAACAACATTATAACGTAATCCGATTAAAACGAAAAAAAACACAATTTTCAAAATATTTTTTTAAGTAGAAGACCGTCGAACAGATAAAGCAGCTAGCACATTAAATTACCCATAACTGCAAAAAATGTTTAACAGATTTTCAACTATCTTCCAAATTCAATAAGGTGGAAAATCAAATAATACAATCGACCAATTAGTATACCTTGACGTGCGGACATTTGTACCCAGTATGTAAGTGTTCCTTTGGATCCGTTTCCATGGCGATAAGCTTGGTAAATAGTGCCTTGATAAGTCCCTTAAAACCTTATTAACGTGGGAGACCTGAATAAGGTTGGATCCTATTTGGACCATACAAAAGCTTAAGTTCCCAAGTTTGTAAATCTTAGTCGGCAATAGACACACCTATCTTACTTTTGGAACACAATATTGTAAGCAATAGATGTGGTTTATTTGTAGTTAGTCTGTAATTTTGAGGATTCAATTTGTTTAAGATGTAAGAATATATATATTATACCTACTCAGTCTACTCAGTAGGCTGCGCGACATCGCCGCCACATTGCCGCAAGCGCGCACGCTACTCATGAGGAAGAACCCCTCTGTGGTTCGAAACTAGTTGAGCTTTTCTCAGTATATTCACGTGAATAACCCGCGATTTTTAGTTAATTTAGTATGTCTCACGATAGTTATTATAATATATATATATATATATTTACTTTAACGTACAGTTATTTATACATATTGTATTAGCTGACCCAGCAAACTTCATACCCTATTAAACCTTCCCTGGGCTTCCACGAACGTTTCAAGACCAAAATTAGCCAAAATTCATACTATCATTGTATACAATATAATGATTTTGTAAACAGTTTTCAAAGATCGATTAACAACTCTATAATCTATAATTACCGTCACAACAGAAAACACCAGTTATTTGCTGTACCATCTTGTAGAACAGTCAGAAGAGCTATATCCCCGTTACCACACACAATGAAACTTTCTAACCGATTGTTGGATTCAGCGCCAGAATGTGATAAGTTATCGAGTGAAAGAAGATTATTTTTGTCGGAATGCTTAAAGTTGAGAGATGAATGAACTCTTTCTCATAACTAATATCTATGGAGTATCTAATAATTATTAAGTTTTTTCAAATGTATTGTTTCTTTCGATTGTTTATATAGTGTAATTGGTTTTTTGTACCGTTCTATTCGTATAAATAAATAAATAAATCCCAAATCGTTCACAAATTACAAGAAGAATACCAATGTCTCTGTGTACCTTTCAAGTTTTCATCAACAAGGTCCAACCAACTTTAACAAAAGAATGGCAAACATAAGAAGCACTGAAGTTATAATTAAAAAACTTGCTACAAGTTACTATAAGTAGCTGTAAGCTTGAAATTATTGAGACACTCAACAACTGATATGAAGACAAGTTTGTTGTATTATGTTTTATGGGAAAACTTTTCTTGCGAACATGATGAGGATCTTTCTGGAAAAAGGATACTTTGTTCATGTTTTAAGTCGTTGCTTAAGAAGTTTCAGTACTGCTTATACCGTGTAGAAGTTGTTTTATTTTTTATGGAATGAGCCGGTACCTAAACGAGCAGACGGATCACCTGATGGTAAGCCATCGGCGCCGCCCATGGACATCCGAAATACCAGATATGTTACAAGTGCGTTACCGGCCTCTGGGGATTATGAATTTGAGGATTGTTGGAGATTTGGAGATTGTAGAAGGGGGTAATTGGACCTCCTGCGTTCTGTAGTCACATTTTTGCATTCTTGGCATAATTGACTTTTTCTTAGTTAAAGACGTCGTTTGTCCAATAAAACTACTTATATTTCGAAAATAGTGTTAAGGTGCGATTTTTGTATCCATGCATATATAGTTTCAGAAACCTGACGAGGAGTCTCACCAAAAGTATGGTTGCCCTTAACAGGTTTACCAAATCTGATTACGACTCCGAGTCAAAAACAAAAATTAATTCAGAAAAGGACAGAGAAAGAAAACAAGGATAGATTATAATGTCCTCTTGTATTTAACCCTTCTACATTTTTATATTTGACTGGTTCAGAAATCCCTTTAAGGTTTTGACTGCCAATAGAAAACTGTTGAAGTCAAATCCATATATGTTAAATAAACCTCAGTTCATTAATAATAATCACTTATCTAATTGTCCTCTCCTTGTTACAGATCAAACAATGGTATGGTTCGGTGTGAGTGTTAGTGCCAAAGTGTAGTGCCAATATGGGTTGCACCCCAAGCATGTTGCTTGACCACAAGAGTCGTCGTCGAGACAGCACGGGGTCCCAAGAGGCGGCCCTGGCTAAGGTCGCTCCGACCCCAGTCTGCAACAAGGCTGTCCAGGCTGCCAAGGCCCCCAGAGCCTCTCTGGAGTCAGACGGCTTCAGCATCCAACTATCCAGCAAGAAGGACAGCTATGTGTCGCAAATGGGCAACAATTTTGCGACTCAACTCCATATCAAAAGGATATCTGGTGAGTTTATATTTGTTTTTCATTTTTAGATATCTGTATCTTTGGTCATTTTAGGAAAACTGTTGATACTGACAAATAAATACGACTAGAAACTACCCTGTTCCTACTCCTGCATTTCGAACCGGAGCTCCGGTAACCCTTTACGTTCTCCGCGGCTCCGTATCACTTATCAGCATCAAACCCTATTGGGCTCCATCCGTGGTGGTCTAAAGGCTCTTTGAGGCGAGCGCGAAAAAAAAAAATGTATAGGTACATAAGTACGCAAAGCACGACACGATGGACAAAGTATCACCCCTATTTCAATACTTTGTGGTTAAAGTCAAAACATGGAGCGCTATAAAATACTTCTTCATCTATATATATACGTTACGTTTGCATCCGTTCAGAAAAATAACTTTTGTGTATTTACTGAAAACTGTATTCAAGTTTCCGAAAAATTTAACTGGTACACACGGCTACACATCGAGCTTTATATCACCAGTATAAACTGAACGTTAAATGTGCGGAAAGATGATGCGACGCGACACCAGGATAAACTGGTTTTGTATAGATTGATGTGTGGCTGTGTGGTACAACACAAACATACACAGACTAACGTTGTTAACTACAAACAAGGAAAGGTATAGGTTTAATCCTGCAAAGCTTCATATTGTCATGCACTACGACATTTCAATTTATGTACAAAATTAGTTTCTGACGTTTTAACTAGAAAATGTTCACTACTGAAATGTTTGAAGAGTTAAGCTTGTTAAAAAATGTTCCGAATAGAACTTTGGTATTCATTTTTCGCAAAAAAATATAGTAAGTAGATTTATGTTGGTAGTATGCGGGTAATATATAACATCACGCCTTTTCCCCCGAAAGTTTAGGCAGAGGTGCACATTACAGCACCTAGTGCCACTGTACAATGTAACACCCACTTTTCACTATTTATGTTATGAGTCACATGTAATAGAGGATGACCCTATATGCGGGTAAAGGAATGCATTATCATCTGCGTAAATAGCTGACCAAATAAGACAAATGTAGGTACATTCATCATCATCGTCATTATTATCGTCCGTGACGGTCCTCTGGCTACTGACGTGTAACCCCTCTTCTGCATCAGGCTAACCCTAATCTCCTCACTTGGGCAGTAGATTATCGTAGTGGTGGTGCGGGTTCGAAACCTACAAACAGCAAGTACTGAAGTGAGTTTTTCCGAGTTATATGTACTTCCCAAGATTATCTAGACACCACTGACAAACGGTGAAGGAAAACATCGTGAGGAAACCTGGGCTTATGATTTCTAATTATAAGTTTGAAATCGCCAACCTGCATTGAGCAAGCGTAGTGATTAATGCTCAAAGCTTCTCCGTGAAAGAAGAGGCGTTGCTTAGTAGTGGGCATTTATAGGCTGTTGATGATGATGATGGGTAGTACATTTAGACATCGCCTGGACCAGGATAAGGTAGTCGTTCCTATGCCAAGTAGACCAAACGCAATCAATACGTATTATCGTACAATATTCTGCACAGTGAACAATTACCATCCGTGCACATATTCACTGGGCCCAGTAATTGCCAGCACTATGCATCAGGCGCCAATCTCAGGCCAGACACGTTAATTACGTTAACATTCTCTGTTTAATCCACCTTAGCCAATCACAGAGCTGAATAGGTAGGAATGGAGCCTAAAATGTAGGTATGATTAATGCTGTATAAGCTGCATGGTGATGGGAGAGTGGAATACATTTGTCAATCCCCCCCCCCCCTCTCTTCTGCGGGTGTCGCAAGACTAAGGCATTACGTACTACACATTTTACAAAAATCAAGCAATAGTGCTCTCTGAAATTCCGGATTCCATTATGCTGTGATATCCAACCAGCGTGGTTATTCGGGAAAACTCCATTATGTAGAAGCGGCCCATAATGCTGCAGTGGACTATTGTAGGCTAATAATAAATATTTGATAGTCTGTTATATGGATAGTCCCAAAAGTTCTTTAAGGATGTGACGTAGGTACTGAATTTTGTTTCATGGAACTATTGAATAGAACTATTGAAATTGAAGCCCAGTTTGGCATCACTAACATGATGTTCTTTAAACGTACATAATACAAATAGTTATTACACCACGCCTTTTATCTCCGAAGGGGTAGGCAGAGGTGCACATTACGGCAATTCTTTAAGTGCCGTAATGTGCAAACAATGGCATTCCACATTGTACAATCTAACACCGACTTTTCACTATTTATGTTGTGAATCCAATCTAATAGGGGATGTGCCTATTGCCATATACATGGCACAATTCCAGACTCAGTGCTACTACTGAGAATTCTTTTTAAAAACCCAATAATACTTTGCCTGACCCGGAAATTGAACGCGAGGCCGCTTGCTCGGCAGTCGCACTTACAACCACTCGGCCAACGACGCAGTCCATTAAACACTATCAATGAAAAGTAGGTAGCACACCCAGTTTTCCCTAGAAATGTCAACTACCTAGACCTACCTACTCCTTCTAGGTACTTCAGGAGTAATGTTACAATTACTAGCTAAACGACTGATGTTTGACTACTTTAATTTGTAGAGGATATGGTTTCCACGTGAATGGACAATTAACGATTTCCCCATTATTAGGAAATAGATCTGACGTCAATGCGTCACCATCGTGGGTAAATATGGGATGAATTACGGGAAGTCGTGAAGCAACGCTTGCATTGTGTTTCGTCGTGTGAGTGAGGTTACCGGAGGCCCAATTACCTTCCCCTTCCCCAATTTCCCCAATCCCTAAATCCCCAACGATCCTCAAACTCCTAATCCCTAAAAAGCCGGTGACGCACTTGTAACGCCTCTGGTGTTCTAGATGTCCATGGGCGACGCCGATTGCTTACCATCGGGTGATCCGTCTGCTCGTTTACCGGCTTATGGCATAAAAAAAAAAAAAAAAATCGGTTCGGTTGCTAACTCAACCCGAATACGTAGAAATTAGAAGTAGTTCTATCATAGCTTTGTAGTGGTAGCTGAAAATTCATTTATATAAACGTTAAATTGATTAACAAAGAAAAAAACTGTGTGAAGAAGTGTGGGAGTCATGCTTCGGCACGAATGGGCCGACTCGACCGGAGTGATACCACGGCCGAGTAGAAAACCGACGTGAAACAACGCTTGCGATGTTCGCACTTACAACGCCTCGGTGTTCCCGGTGTCCATGGGCGACGCTGATTGCTTACCATCAGGTGATCCGTCTGCTCGTTTACCGACTTATACCAAAAAAAAAACTTTTTCTGCTGAATGCAAGGATCTTGGGTTAATAGTTGAGAACATTTAGCAATTTGTTTTGATATGGTTAATTTTAAGTATTATACGATATTTTATGGACTAATAAACAGCATGTCATTTGCCTTTTCGGCAATTAGTGTCTTATTGATATTAATACAAATATCAGCGGAAAACTTGTCCTACGCAACACATTCATAGGAAAACGCTCTACAGTTCAAAGAACTCAGAAATCCAATTACTTAAAAAAATGTACAAAGAATAAATTAATTACCAATTACGTTCGAAGCACACGAATTGGACATCAATTGTGTGCCTTGGACACAGGTGGAATAAAGCGATAGCAGCGCCCCAGGCGGCAACATTTCGGAGCAACTTGCATGAAAATACATTGTTACTGAATGCACACTGAGTCTCGTACGTTCTTTTAATTAAAATATTACAGCTTAAAGAGAGACATGAAAGGAGGGTATGTCATTAAAGGTTTAAATTGTGACTGTGAAAAGTTATTGTATATCGCATTCATGTTGGTTAAACTGTGTCGTTAATAGAGTTCTTGCAAGGGCGACCAAAGTGCATCGATAGTGCAAAAAAGATCGTGTGAATAGGCATCGTCATCTAGTTTAATTATCGAACACTTAAACTGTCAAACACCAAGCGGTCACCGGTGACCGCAACCTATTGTTCTATAATTGTGTCTACAAAACCGGTACTCGACGAGTTAAACTTGAACGTGCATTGGAAAACTAGGCACTAAAGTATCTAGTAAATGAGAGTAAATGAGGTTGACTGTCAGAGAATGCCTTAAGGCATTAAGTTCGCCATTTACATCTTTGGTGAAGAAGTTATAATAAATAAATAAAATAAATTGCACTGGTCACTGACCTTTTGCTTAGCCATTAAGTAATTAAAAAACATTAATAATGTGTTATGCTGTAGTACAAAAACATAAGCAGACTTCTTAAGAAAGACCGAGTCTAATAACAATGCATACAGTATACTATTACATGAGTAACTTAAGTTGCAAGCCGTAACTTAAGCGGGAGAATACATGCTCAACTTGGACGGTGTAGTTAGCTTCAAGTGCTTCAAGTTGGTACTAAGTTATTTGCATGTAAATTGTAAAACTGTCATGTTTAGCTTGCGTATGTATATGTATAAAGGAGGACTAAAGTTTGCTTTGCTTATCAGTTAAGAGATTGCTTATTTATGGATAGGAGGCAAACGAGCAGACGGATCACCTGATGGTAAGCGATCAGCGCCGCCCATGGACACCCGCAACACCAGAGGAGTCACAGGTGCGTTGCCGGCCTTTTAAAAAGGAATACGCTCTTTTCTTGAAGGTTTGATGGTCGTATCGGTTCGGAAATACCGCCGACGACAGATCATTCCACAGTTTTGCTGTGCGAGGCAGGAAGCTACGTGAGAAGCGCACAGTTGTGGCCTGCCAACCATCTATATATGATGGGGATGCATATGTTGGCGTGAGATATTTCTTTATAGATAAGGTTTTAGATGAGATCCTCATTTTATTAATATTTGCGTGAAAAATGGCTTCACTAACTAGATTAACTGTACCTTTTTAAATGACTGTTATATCTTGTTTAATATTTATGTGACTAATGTGGTAAAAGTGTGGGGGGATGCTTCGGCACGAATGGGCCGGCTCGACCGGAGTGATACCACGGCCTCACAGAAAATCGTGAAACAACGCTTGCTTGTTTCGTCGACTGAGTGAGGTTACC